TCTTGTGAAAGCAACTGCATTCAGATTCACTCATCCCTGTGGACTTCCAGGTTCTCATTTTCCTGTGATTTTGTCTGATCTTTTCAACATTAAATTTACCTGCCTTATGCCAATTGCTCTGATGAATATGTGTAATTTTTGCCTGCCACCAGTCCATCCAAACATTGCCTCACCTGACCAATTCTGCTGGGGCTTCCACGCAGCTCTTGCAGGACACAACACAAGCCAGTGGTGATGCTGCACAACAAACGTCACAAGTCATGCCATTCTGAGGACTCATGCCCAGGGCGTGCACCTCCTGAGGACCTGGGTGTGGATCAGACCACATCGGAAGATTCCTGCCCTGGTCAAGAAATACTGCCTGACTCGCCTTCAGCAAGCTTTGTTGTCATTGAGGATGTGCAGGATAATGACAGCACGGTGAGGACTGCTGGCAGTACTGTTGATGTGTTTTGGACAGCTCAACCCATGCGTCTGCCACATACCTAAGCTAAGTTTTTAAGTTTTACAGTTCACGGTAAGCAACATGACTCATTTGGACAATGCAGACTGCGTTCCAGCCATTTGTGTGACCACACTGCATAGGTTTGAACTTGGGCTGACCCCCATGTCCGATGACACTACCCACGATGATGAATATTGTTGGATGAGGGTTGGGAAGTACCCAATGTACCCATGTCTACCCTGTGCCATCAGGTAGCTGACTCAGAGGCTGGGGAGGACAAGCTGCTGTCAGGACCAAGTCTGGTGATTGGCCAGAATGAGATGCTGCTGCTTGAGATGTTTGTGAGCCGGGTGGTGCAGGAGATGGAGACACGCTACATCTCTCGGTTCGTGACCATCCAGGCATTGACATCACCCACAGACACTTTGCTCTCTCCCAGCATAAATCAACATTGCAGCCACACTGGGCACCTTGTCCATGCAGCAGGGCTACAATATCAGATTTGTGGTTGTGGGTTGAAACCCTTTGAATGTTGACTCTTCACAGTTTCTCTGTGGTAAAAACTTTGGACAGACCATCAGCTCACTGTCTGTTGGTGACTTTCTTATTCTGGGACTTCAGCTGTCTCCTGTTGGCATTGCTTCACAACCCTGTGTGCTCTCTAATATCACATGATCTTTTGCCATGCAGTGCTGTCCTGTGGCATCATTCCACCATTCTGCCTTTCAACCTTTTGAGATGACCTCACTGTCATCCTCCTACCTCATTTTGCCATCCTGAGGCCTCTCCACCATCAAACTTTCCATTATCCTGTGACCTTTTCACAATCCTGTTGGTTTTGTGCCTGGTGACCTCCCTTCGCTACCCCGTGGTATGTGTATGCCATCCCATAATCCTCTGTCATTTTGTGGCTTCCTGTTGCCACCTTGTAGTGTCTCCGACATTCTGTCATCTCTCCGCCATCCAGCTTCATGTTCAGCTTGTTGTGACTTCTTTCTGCCATCCTGAACTGAAGTAATCTCCACCATGACCTTCCTCTACCTCCCCTTTGACCTCCTCATGACATCTCTCTCCATGTAACCCCTTCCCATGACCTTCCCCATCCTGTGACCTCACTCCTCCTGTGACTCTCATCGCATGACCCCGGCCGCCATCGTCAGGATGCTGGAGATGGACAGCAAGGTGGACGCGCTGGCGCATCTCTGCTCGGGCATGGCCGACAAGCTGGACGCCGTGCTCGGACGGTCTGGCGGCGCCGACGCCGACGCCGAGCAGGCCGACACTGGCCGACGCTCCAGGTGAGAGCCGAGCCGACCGGCACGCACTGACGCGCGCGCTAGTGGTGAGCCACGACGTTGTACGCGTGACATGTGCTTGCAGCACACAAGTTTATGTCCTCAGTTTGGGGCTGTTGATGTAGCGAGTGCTGCTGCTGTTAAGGCAAGTGTTGAATGCTATGGCTGCTGGCTGCAATTCCCGTGAGTGGAAACTAAGCTGGGCGTCCGCTCAAAGTCGTCTGGGGTGCTGAACTGGGATTGTGATTGGTCCGCACCGCGAGCCTGTTATGTGGCGTTATTCTCGAGTGGCGTTCTCTGCTCTGTGTTCTCCTCTTCCTCTCGCCACCTTTACTTACTTTACTTTCTCTCCCATGTCAAAGCAGGTCCGTTCGCATACCCCGTGACATGTGCCGTTTCCGTCCCGCCTGCCAGTCTGCCGGACATCCAGACCAGGTGGAGTCGCTGGTCCAGCTGTGCTCCAGCCTCTCGGACAAGATGGACGCGGCTCTGCCGGCGTGCGGCCAGCAGCGGCAGCTCGCCGACGGCGGTGCCGGTGACGCTCAGACCAGGTCAGCGCCGCTCGAGCCGAACTGGGTCCGGCGTGGCCGCGCCGTACCGCCGTCGGAGTCACTGCGGTGACGTGCCGCGACCCCAGGGCGCAGCGCGCGGACGCTGCGCAGGGTCTGGGAACGGCCGTGCTGTGAGCGGCGGCGGGAACATGGACAGGGAGAGGGGGTTCGCGAGGCATCCAATCTTGTTATTAGGTGGTAGAGGGCAGTGCAGCTGATGAAGCGTTCGCCGAGGCGTGAGCTCGAGCCGAATGTGGTGGTTTCCTGATTGCAGCTCGTCCGTGTGTGTCGACCCGACGCCGCTCCTTGCCGGTTGGTTCGGGCACGGGACGCAGGCTGGTCGCTCCTGATCCGTACCTGCTGACCTGACGCGGTCCGTTGACGCTGGCGCGGTCAGCCGGTTACAGACCTAGCTCCGCCCGTCCCGTGTCGGCTGGCCAGACCCCGGCCCGACTTTACTAGGTCTGGGATGGTCGCTGCCCCATGTCTGCTGACCTGACACCGCCCCTTCCCCATTTCCAGTTCACAGATGGTCGCTCCCCCGTGTGGCGTCGCTCTGACGCCGCCCCTGCCCCGCCGCCAGGTCGCAGGCGGAGGCCGACGGCGACGCGCCCGTCTCGCTGGTTGCGCCGCGCGCCGCGCCGACGCGCCGGTGATCGCGCTCAACCGCGAGTCCGACTTCCCCGACGGCTCTTGGCTGGGCGACGCGGCCAACCCGCACATGCGCGTCCGCTGCAAGATCCACCCGCTGTGAGTCGGCCGTGGGGCGCCCGCGCGCGGCGCCGGCCGGGCGGCGCGGCACCGCGGCTGCGCCGGGGCTGACGTGCGCCAGGGGGCAGCGTTTCGGCGGGAGTTGCTGTTGGTCAGGCGCGCGCTGTGCTGGCGTTACCACCCTGGGGCCGTGTGTCGGACTCGGGAGGCGCCCTTGACGAGCGTCTGTGCTGGCATTACCACCTTGGGCCGTGTGTCGGACTTGGAAGGCGCCCTTGACGAGCGTCGCCCGTCGGATCGCAGCCTGGACACTGGGCCTGCTGCCTCAGCATGTATACTTCGGAAGCGTATTTGTGTAAACCTATGGACTAGACAGCAGACCGGGCCGCGCGGATCGAGCCGCAGTAGAGACGCTCGGCGGCGCGTCCCGGTGACCGCTGCCGCCGCTGTGGCGCGAGCGTCTGCTGAGCGGCGGCGCCCGTTCCAGCGAGATGACGCGGCTGTCGCGGCACTGCGTGTCGGCCGAGAAGCTGGCCGTCACGCTGCTGGACCACCTGTTCCCGCGCGAGGTGCTGGCGGAGTCGAACATCTCGGGCCGCGGCCGGCACTGCAAGAAACAGCTCGACCCGCTCATGGTGAGCGGCCGGCACAGCGGCGCCGCCGGCCGCTCTGTCTCTCTGTATTTGGGTCTGTGCCCCCGGCTGTGTATCTGTCTCTGCCTCTGCCCTGGCTGTGTCTCTGTCGCTTTTCTGTGTCTCTGTATTTGGCTGTGTCTGTGTCTGTCTCTGTCTCTGTCTCTGTCTCTCTATCTCTCCTCTGGCTGTCTCTGTCTCTGCCTCTGGATGTGTCTCTGTCGCTGCCTCTGGCTGTCTCTGTCGCTTTTCTGTGTCTCCGCCTCTGGCTGTGTTTCTGTCTCGGGCTCTCTGTCTCTGTCCCTGCCTCTGGCTGTATCTCTGTCTCTGGCTCTGTGCGTCTGCCTCTGGATGTGTCTCTGTGTCTCTGCCTCTGGATGTGTCTCTGTCTCTGTCTGTCTCTGTCTCCATATCTGTGCCTCTGACTGTGTCTCTGTCTCGTTGTCTTTGTGCTTTCTGCCTCTGGCTGTGTTTCTGTATCTGTCCCTCTGTCTCTGTCTCTGCCTCTGGCTGTGTCTCTGTGTCTTTCTCTGTCTCTGTCTCTGCCTCTGGATGTGGCCTCTGTCTCTGTCTGTCGCTGCCTCTGGCTGTGTCTGGCTCTCTGTCTCTGTCCCGGCGTCCTGCCTCTTTATCTCTGCCTCTGGCTGTCTCTCTGTCTGTGTTTTTCAGCATCCTATGTGTGAGGGTCTCACCGCACTGTACTTGTGTTGTGTGCGTGTGTGTCGGCGCCTGCGTGTGTATGCGACCGCACTTGTGTTGTGTGTATTTGTACCTCACTTAGTTAACGTGTCCTGTGGTTTTTGCATTGTGGTTTGGGCATTGTGAGCTGGGCTATGGCGTGCGTGGTGAGTGGGCATTTGGATTCTCCTCTGCTGAGCCAGGCAGCAGTGGCTATAGGAGTCACTGAAAATTTGATTTAGCAAAACTGCAAGTGCAGCTTATGGGATGGCATATTGTGTAGTTCGGCTGCTAAAACATCATTGTATATCAGGACATGCTTTAGAGCGCGCATGTTTTTATGTGAAAAGGGCAGAATCTTCATGTTATTTATCGGGGATTGGTGGCCGGCGTGTGCCGGCGTATGTTTGCTTTGTGCGGGATCGGAAATACTATTCGCGACATATTCTCCGGCTGTGAAAAATAATTATCCACCAGCTTCAGTTTCAGATTTTCGGTCAAAATCTTTAATCGCTGGTATGCTGTGGAAATCGCCCGGAGTGCATGCACCTGCGAGCTGTGGACTGCTGCGTGGACCGAAAGCGTGTTGGGACACTGTGGATTATCTCCCGTTGGCAGTAACTTAAATTCTGGAAATAACCAGCCGCGTTTTACCGCAGCGTTTTACCCAGCTGCGTCTTCCGTCTCAATGCCGGCAGATTTTACGGTATTTACTGTCATCTCGTCACGCATCATAACGTCACGGAGAAGGAGTGGCAAGCGGATCAAGAACAACCTGGACGCCAAGTGCAGGAGCATGTGGAAGCGCAAACAGCGTGGCAAACCGCTCGGCATGGGCAAATACGTCAACAAGCAACCGAGGGTGTGTAGCCCGACGTCGCGCAGTATTGCGTGCTGCTTGTGACCACAATCCGCCTACCTCGTTTGGTAAACGGCATCACTACTTCTCCAGTTTTGTGATGTGATGTTGGTTTTGTGAAATTCCTGCCATCTATGTGGCACTGGTTTTTGCCCAAAGGAAGGCAAAAAGACAGACGGACGGGGCCAACAAAGACTGGACGACTGGATCTGGAAGGTGTTAAAAGCCTCATTAAATAGATTTCCAAAGTCATGATGGCGTCCATTTCGCGAAGAGCATGACTTTGTTATGACCCGGCGACGTTTGTCTCAAGATTAACCAGGGCATCAATGGGAGGAGTTAGAAAGTGGCCTGCGCTGCCTACGCTGTACAAGCCATATCGCGCCGTGTGCCCCTCCCCCAACCCCCCATCCCTCTTACCATCGTCTGGTGGCGGTCACTGACCCTGTGTCCGGGCCGGTGCAGCGGTGGACGTGCGTGGACGAGCCGGCGGCGGCGGTGCAGTCCGGCTCGCCGGGGCTCGTGTTCTCCGACGACGCCGGTATGGTGGTGATGGAGACGATGCCGGTCGGCGACGTCGTGGAGGTCGAGCACGCCGACTACCTCAACACCATGGAGCTGGCCGACTTCAGCAGCGTTAAGGTACGCCCGCGGCTCTCGTCAGGGAGCTGGTGGTTGTGTTGAGGCAGTGGCGGCGATTTTGTTGAGGCAGTGGAGGTGGCCGCGTTGCGGAGCCAATTTGGGTGGGAGCGGAGCTTAGTTTGATCGACTGCGCCGTGTTTGATCGGTGTTATCCTGCCCCGGGTTGGGTTACTGGTGCTGTGGACAGCAACCAGGTATTTTTGGCAATTTTGGATACCGCAGCTGTGCTCCTATCGTAGGAGATTAGACTGTGAGCCTGCGAAACTGAGCCACCCGATGCTGGAGCCTTACCTGTAGTCCCGGTGCTAATTTACGGAAGTGATTAGGGTTTCAGGGTGTTAAAGGGGGGTATGCCACCTTCGTACTTTCACTTGTTGCTAGATCAGACGCGTCCGATTTCACCTCGTGATTGCTAGTTTTCCGAATCCTTCAAATAGCTCAATTTGTATTTAGAGTAGCCGCGCCTGCGGCAGAAAGCTCATTGGACTCCTTGCCGTCACTGTAAAAGTAATGCATTTGATTTGCCTTGCTGTTTCCGGTGGCGTGTTCTATAATGTTTGTAGCACACTAGTCTGTGAGTGTAATTAATTCTATGAAAGTTTGAAACAATTCAGACGAGAAGATGTGCAAACTGAAACTATTATCCCCGCGAATTCAGCGAAACGTTATACTATGGCTTTGATTTCTCCCCTACGGGCCTTCACTAGAGTGATTCTTTTGGAAGCACACTGTGACTTTAGGGAAGGGAGCATCGCATGGTCTGCAGTGACGCACTGGTTCAAAACACGCACACGCGCTGCAAACCAATCCTCTTCACGGTAATTGGCCCTTGCCTAGTGCTGTGCCAATGACAAACGCTCATATATACTGACGTCATTCACACAAACCCGCAGTGTGCGGGTTAGAACAGCCCAAAAGTGGTACCTCTAACCCGTAACACCTGACCACGTCTCCCAGCAGATTCCGCCGTTGTCATGACGACGGCGGTCGCGACAACTGCAGTTATCGTGGATTTGGGATGCTTTCTGATGCTGTCAAGGAAGGAAAGAAGTGTAGTGCTGTTAAAAGTGTTGACAGTGTTTTGGGCCGTAAAATGCTTAGAATTCATGTTCTTATTGTGTCTTGATTGTGCTGCAGTGGCATTACCCAGTGGAATTATTGGATGTAACTGGTCCTGAAGTTTCACAGGAGTATGTCTTTTTTAAATGTGCCCCGAAGGTGTGACTCCCTCAAATCGCGAAGGACATGGAAAGTGAAAGTTTGTGTTTTGGATCTAGCGTAGTATCCAATGGGAGCTATCTCTGAAATGGTCTTCAAAGGCATGTTTTGTTCTGTACTGATGGACTAGTTGCCTGATGTCCGTACTGATGGGCTGTTGCTAATGCATGCAGGCGTTTGTGTTCGCAATGTTTGCGAATGCGCCTGCGTGTTTGGATCAACCTGGTGTCTGTCTGTCTGTGTGCAGGTGGTGCTTGCGCGTCTCAGGATGTTAGCCTTCTGTGTTTGTGCGCGGCAAGCAGTTCTTATAAGTTACGCATGTGTTTGTCTATCCTGTGCACTTGTGTGTCTCCCCTGTGCACATGTGTGTTCACACTGTGTACCTGTGCTTCCCCTGTGCACCTGTGTCTGCCCTGTGTACCTTTGTGTGTACCTTTTGTGCTGGTATTTGTATCCTGTGTATATGTGTGTTCTATCATGTGTACCTGTATGTTTGCCGCGTGCAATTGTGTGTTTACCCTATGTACATGTATATCCACCATGTACACATGCATGTCTATTATGTACACTTGCATGTCTGCCCTGTGGAGATGTGTATCTGCCCTGTGCACCTGTTTATCTGCCCTGTGTGAATGTTTGTATACCCTGTGCACATGTGTGCCTACCCTACACATATGTATGCCTACCTGATTCACATGGATATCTACCTCATATACCTATGTGTCTACCATGTGTACCTGTGAGTGTCCACCCCACCTGTGTGTCTGCCCTGTGCGCATGCCTGTCTGCCCATGCACCGGTGTGTCTCCCCTATGCGTCGCTGTGTCTACCTTATGCACGTGCGTGACCAGCGGTGTCCGTGTGTGCGCGTCAGGTGATACAGACGTCGATGGCCGGCTCTGTCCGACTGCTGGGCGGCGACAGCTCCGACCTCCTGTCCTCCAACAACGTCTCGCTGCACGAGGTACGCCTGCCGTGCCGACCCGTCGTACATGACCACGGGCTCCCCCTGTTGTGGATGGTAACCTTTTTATCTAAAACACGACGCTGTGTTGCTATGCAGTGGTTTGTTTCGCTCAGCGTACGGAAGATGGCATGGAGCGCGGAGGGCGGGGTACCGATAGTGTAGTGGTTACGTTGTACGCCTGGGAAGCCGGAGGTACTGGGTTTGACTCCCGTGGTGCCGCTCCTCCTGTCAAGAGGACAGGCAAGCACGCCGTATTGTCCTGGCAACCAGGTTTGGTAAAGCCCCAATAACATAAACATGGAGGGCACACGGATGCTTAACAGGCAAGCAATCGGAATGTCCCGAATCGCTCCTAGTTGGCCAAAATGTCCGTGCGGTCAGTGTATGAAATTGTGTCAGTTTTTGTGTTACCACTTGCTGCCATCGTTCGTCGGAGCATTACCGTCACGCAAAGTACCAGTGACGGTGCGCTACCGTGGTCAGTCTTTTCCGCCGCTCGCCGTGCTTACGTCGGTGCTGCCGCCTATACCGTCAGGCGAGTGCGCGGGGCGACACCGAGCGGCTGCAGGCGAACAGTCGGCAGTTCCGCGCCGTCATACGCGAGGACCCAATGGACGGCAAGCAGCAGCGGCTCGTGTTCAGCAGCGTCAACGACTAAGGCGCTGCGAGACACCAGCAGGGGGCTGTGGGAGCGGAGACTGGGGGAGACGTCGGCAGGGACCAGGGCCTGGGGACGGGGCGGCTGGAGCGGCCTCTCCGCTCGGCTGAGTGGTCGGTCCAACCGCGCCGCCCTGGGGCGTTATCCGCACGCTTGGTCTGGGGCCACGGGGACTGTTTTTGAAGCACGGTGACCAACCGGGAATTGCTATCAGGGGCCTGCAGATGTCAGTCGTGTCCGGACTTCGCGGGAACGTGGCGGGACGCTGTGAAATCCCGCCTTCGGGGAGATGGCGACGGAGCGTGCCGGAAGCCGCGGCGGCAGACGCGAGCCAGCAGGACATGAGTCGCGCCAGAGCGGCCAGCTCGGGCCGATCGCCGCGCAGCTGCCCGCTTATCCGTATCAAAACCCGTTGGAAAGGTGTCGTCACTGGCTACTGATCCCGATCCCGTGTCTGGAGTCGCCTGTCCCGACCCAGCCCCGGTTACAGCCGGTACCTGAGTGGTGCGGGTCTTGTCCGTCGGCGCCTGGATGTTAGACTAGTTCGTGTCGCCTGGCTGTGTGCCTGTCGTCTGTGGTTGGCGTTCTCTTGCGTAGCGTCGCTGAGCAGGCGCGGGCGGAAAGTCGGTGGCGCCGCCAAATATATCGACACCAGCACTTTCCGACTATCTTGCCACCATCCCGCCACAGTCCACGACAATGCGCCTGGAGAAATGTCTCAACATGAGAAGCAGCAAGATCTTCAGCATCCCTTACGCATGAGCTGCGTCGGGGTGTGGGAAAGAGCGCGGCGCCGACGCGTTTGGCCCCTGGGCCCGGCCGGCGGGCCTAGCTCGGCCTCAGAGAGACCCAGCCGTCTCTGGCGATAGTGGTCTGGCCCCCGGGCGGGCCGGCGGGCCTAGCTCGGCCTCAGAAGGATCCGGCGGTCTCCGGCGATGGTGGTGCGGCCACCACTGGCCCGCTCCGGCCGGCCGCGCGTGAGGCTGATCTGAAGCGGCGGTGCCCCGACTGTGGGCAAAGGAGGTGGGGCGCGGAAGGCGATGCGTACAGCAACCGGTCAAAAGCCGGCTGTTAGTAGCAAGGATACGATAAGGTCTTTGGCCGATCCTTGGTGGAGAACGCCCACACTGCCCGCCCCCATTAAAATCTTGGGCATTTTTGTTCTAGCCTTCCCCTCAAAAAAGGTATGAGAGCTCCGGCAATGCCTCTTCGATCGCACGGTTCGGGGCGCCCGGCGGAGCGTGGACGTCGGGGTGCGGCGTGCAGTGTGCTTGGAGTTCTCGGGCCTTTGATTGCGCGAGAAGGCTGGCTTATGGAATGATGCTGAGCTAGATCCTTTGCGCAGACTTTGTTCCACTCAGAAATCTCAACGGAAGATCATTGGAATTGGGGTGAGTCCATCAAATCCGAATCCTAGGTGAACTTTTGCCACAAATCGGACCCGTTCTGTATTTCCGAGGCACGTCACAGTTCAGCGGAGCCTCCGGCATTGCGGGCTGAACTGGTCAGGTACTGAACCCCGCGCCACTTCGGAGCGAGAGTTCGAGCGTGTATCCATCCGGCGGGACGGGCCGGGCGGTTAGCGGACGCGGCCACCCCGCGGGCCACAGGGTGCCGATTACCGTGCGGCACCCCGCACCTCGCACCCTACACCCCGCCTCCTCTCTGACGGCCGCCGGCGCGTCTAGACGGCGTCTCGCCGACCGTCTGCCCAGGCCGCCACCGGCCGCCGCTCCAGACGCCAAAAAGCCAATCGTCCAATTATAACTTGTCCGGGGCGTTTTTGCCGTCTGCGCCGCCGCCCGACAAAAAGCGCGCGCTGGGCACAAAAAGCGCGCCAGTCGACCGCCGTCTGACACCCAGGTGACCTTGAGCGCGCCGCCGCAGACAGTGGTGAAAAACCGCCGCCGACCCACAAAAAGGCTGTCGGACGCGCGCGCCGCCGGCCCGGATACCGACAGGTCACCCGGGGCAAGTGCGGCGGGGGGGGGGAGGGGGCACTCCACCGCCGCAGGACGGTATCGGGCATTGCTGGCGTCGTCGGGACGGCCGGCGGCCTGCTCGGGCCTCCCTGCGGCGCAAGCCTGGTGCGGACGGCTGTAGCGGCAGCGCTCCAGCCGGCCGCGCGATAAGACTGGGAAACTATCTGGAAGGTCTGATTCTTATCCGTTATCTTAACCGTGATGACGAGGATGATGTGTAAGCATACGTCGAGATAACTAGCAACAAATTATTATAAACACGTATTGATTTATAACACTCGGTGCAATACATTGGGTGAGGCGCGACGTCGTAGGAGCTGCGCGCCAAGTGTTGGGCCTGATGGTCTGGATGATCTGGCGGCCCGCATTGGTTGCTAGCGACAGCGGTTCCAGAGGTCAGGCAGTCTGGGTCAGGGGTCAGGCGCGCACTCAGACAGACCAATTGGATTCCAGTTACCATGGGTCATTGGGCAGCAAAATCTGCTGATCACGGGACGCGTGCAATTGGGGCGAAGCGACGGTGCTCTCCCGCTGTTGGTGAGCGTGCTCACATGGTGTCCGTGATAATGAGCGTTGATTGGCTCTAAAGGCTGGCCTGCGCCCAGTTTTCTAAAAAGAGGTAAGTCGTCGGTGTGGTTAAGCGCGCCCTGCAAGTAACATCGACGCTGACCTAGTCGGCATCGCATTGTGCTCAGGAGGAACCGGCCTATGGTGGCCGCGCGGAAGAAGATAGAAAGCCAAACCTTGATATCGTGAGCGGTAGCTCTTTTGCGACCACATCGTTGACGCCTTTCCCAAACTTCGGACTTCTGGTTCGAGCCTGCGTGGGCGACGAGAGTGGCACCCCTTAAAGAGGGGCAATGGGTCGCACCTGAAGTCGAGCATACGTTAGAAACGTTGAAGTGACACGTGGTTGTCTGCATTGGGCTCAATTTGGCCAACGTCGGTAGAGAAAGAGAGAGAGAGCGAGAGAGAGAGAGAGAGAGAGAGAGAGAGAGAGAGAGGAGAGGAGAGAGAGAGAGAGAGAGAGAGAGAGAGAGAGAGAGAGAAAGAGAGAGGTGTATGTATATAGAAATATGTGCGTGTATCATCTGGCTGATCATATATTTTTATGCATAAATAGAAATGACTAAACCTTAAACAAAAATAAAACCCATCCTCCCGCCATATTCGTGTCTGGTAGTCGTTCTACCCTGTCTGCGACTGCCTTCAACGAGCTGTCCCTGTGCCCCCAAGCAAGCGATCGATATCACCTCGCTCACCGCTCCGCGGTGGCTATGGCTTTCCACTGTACCTCGTGCGACTTCTCCGAAGTTGCACGTGCCGCGCCGGCTTCGGCTTCTTCTGATGCTCGGCTAAGCCAGCCGCCACTCCGGGAGCCCAGCTGGACCTCCCCGACCGTCCCCGTCTTCGGCACGATACCCGTTATCCAGCCCGCTCCCTGACATGCTGGATGTTGTCATCTTTGGCTGTTTTGGGCGCACACACCAGACATGCCGCACCTGCATTGGCGAGCGTGCCCCTCTGACCAGCGGCCTCCATCCCAGCTGTTTGTTCTCCTATCGACAACGCTCGATTGTTGCCGTTTGAGTTATGGCCTCATTGATCATCCTTGTTTGCCGCTGTCGACTGCAGGCTGTCTAGCTTTTTCGTTTCGCCGCCATGCTCCGTTTTATGGGTTTTTGGCTGTTTAGGCCACTGATGCTTGTTTCGCCTCTGCCTGCTGTCATGCGAGTTGCTACTTCCTAGCCGTGCACACGTCAGGGTGCTAGTCTGGTTCGTGAGGCTCGGCTTCAGCCGTCATGACTAAGCGCTGATGGATGCAAAATGAAAGTAGATCTGCTTTTAGCTCGTGACTGGTTCCGGACTATTATGACGCAGGCACCTGTCTGTGCACTGCAGGAGATGGACGTGCCCAGATTCTTGCCATTGTTCTGTTTTTGTTCTGAAACGATGCAAGTGATTTCCAGTGCATTTGTTGCGCCAAGCCAAACATACCATAGCGAGAATATTGCCGACTTTTGCTGGGTTTCGTCTGGTCTACGGCACGGTAGCTCTGACATTCTAAAGCAGTACTGCAGTGCAGGTGCCATAACTCAGTACTGACCTGTCGTAGTCGCTTCTCGTTTCATTTCGTATTTCACCGAAATCGCTCGAGCCAAAGCGTTCCAGTTCCGTTTCCCTTGGAGCAAACCCACAATTGTGATTCCGAAAAGATGGTTTACACCCCCATCGAATGTGAAACAGCCAAATTACGGCCACTTGGCGTATTCTAAGAGTTCTTAGCGGTGTCATTTAAAGCGCTGAACAATTCTAGTACTGTTGCAGGCTGCATCGTTGCAGGCTGCAGGCTGTAGGTGCAGGTTATATGCAAGTAAAACTGTATAACATTTGCAGCGTACAGAGTAGTTTTTTGTCAAGAACTGTGTACATCTCTAACTGAGAAATGATTGTCTATGAGCAAGCCCTCAGAGAGGTTAGATCTCAATGGTGACTAACCTATATATTCTCTTCATCCTGTGGATGATCTTTCCAGTCCCAAAAAGTCTAAGATAACCAAACCAAATCCAGCATATCGATCAAAGGGCGTTGGAGATGCCTTTTGATTGTGTTGTCAACTTTTGTACGTGAGAGGCGTTGCAAAGCTGCAGCCTGCTCGAGGTTTATCTTTTGTTCTTTTCCAGTGCGCATTATCTGCTTGCAGTTATCTATACTGCCATCAGGCTTCCAACCACAGGCGGCCGCACCAGAGGGAAGGGACGAGGCCTTACCCCTCCAGCATTCGTGAACTCAAACGCCACGTCAACAGCGCTGCACGGAAAGCACAGAACAGCACGCCCTCTACCCCTGCAACCCTTTGTCTCCTCCAGTCTCGGCTCGGCGTTGACGCCTGCGTTCGCACCGAATAAGGCACCCGCCGCTGCAACCCTTGCGGGTGCCGTAATGGCGCCATGATGACGGCATTTGCCCGCAAACTGGAACCCGGCAGTGCCGGCAGAACCCGGACACCTGTGGGCGGACACGCCCCCCCCCCCGCACCCGCCTGTCCGCCAGTGCCATGAATAGAGAAACATCCCCCCCATGTGCGGGTCATTGACAGACCGCAGCTACGTAAAGGCGGTGGAGTTCCCGGAAAGTACATCGCGTGACATATTTATGCACCGTCTGAGGCTGAAATGACGTCATGCAAGGTGAATCGGTCGCTGGAACGAAGAGAATGGCTGTGTTGTGGTTTGGAGTTCAAATATGAGACATGCGGCAAAGGTCACTGTGACGGCGAACTGGCGCCGAAGATATTAGTTCGTTTTTAGTTAGCATTTTAATCGCGTCAGAAGCATTCATGTTCCAGTGTTTTGTCATCAGTGAGCTTTGATGGGATCCAGTGTGATTGCAAGTGGACCGTTTCGGATCGGTTCAGAACTCCGCTTCCCAAGTTGTTTCAATTTCAGCCAAACGGTTCTGGAGGTAACGATTTTTTTCGAACGGATTCTTGACACCAGCCGCACCTGTACTGGAGAGGGTTAACCGCTGGGGGCTGCCGTAAGCGGATTTGGTTCCCGAAATGGAGTAAATCCTGGGTACACTACTGCCACTACCAAAGTGAAACCCCACCTTACTGACCAC